GTAGGCCAATTAATAACCCTATAATGGCCTCTAATTATTCAGGTGAAAGAGTTGCATGTCTCAATTTAAATCAAAAGCTAGAAATGATTCAGCTGTGAGGAAGACAAGTCCAAAGCCAAAATAGGTCAAACTCTAGGCCTTTTGTGCAAAAAAGTTGGCCAAGTTGCAAATGCAAAGGAAAAGTTCTTGAAGGGAGTGGAAACTCTTGAAGGGAGTGGAAAAGTTCTTGACGGGAGTGGAAAAGTTCTTGAAGGGAGTGCCACTTCAGTGCAGTATTTTTTAAGATTGTGAAACTTTTTTGTCCTTTCCTTACTGATTCATGGAAGTTTTTGATATATTTGTGATAATAACTCTTTGTTAGATACATGTGTGAAAAATATATTCTCCCAGTCTGTTTCTTGCCTTTGTAATAAATGTTATGTGTTCTCACTGCTCCATACACAACAATAATGACAAGAAAGTGAAACACCCTTATTGCTGATAAGGCGAAAGTTTGAGTGGTCTGGACAGAAGACCAAACCAGCCTAAACATTCCCTTAAGCCAAAACCCAACCCAGAGCAAGGCCCTCACTTCTATTCTGTGAAAGCTGAGTGGTGAGGAAGCTGGAGAAGAAAAGCTAGCATAAGTTGGTCCATGAGATTTAAGGAAACAAGCTATCTCTATAACATAAAAGTGCAAGGTGAAGCAGCAGGTGCTGATGGAAAAACTGCAGAAAATTATTCAGAAGGTCTAGCTGAAAGAATTGATGAAGGTGGATACACTAAGCGATGGATTTTCAATGTAGACCAAATAGTCTTCCATAGAAAGAAGATGTCATCTAGGACTTTTATAATTGGGAAAGAGAAGTCAATGTCAAAGGACAGACTGACAACTCTCTTGTTAGGGACCAATACAGCTGGTGACTTTTGAAGCCAATGTTCATTTACCATTCTGAAAATCCTAGGGCCCTTAGAATTATGCTAAATCCACTCTCCAGAAATGGAACAACAAAGATAGGATGATAGCACATCTGTTTACAGCATGGTTTACTGAATATTTTAAGCCTGCTGTTGAGACCTACTACTTAGGAAAAAAAAACCTTTCAAAATATTACTGCTCATTGACAATGCACCTGGTCACCCAAGAAATCTGATGGAATGTATAAAGAGATGAATGTTGTTTTTATGTCTGCTAAGACAAGATCCATTCTGCAGCCCATGGATCAAGGAGTAATTTTGATATTCAAGTCTTATGATTTAAGAATTACATTTTGTAAGGCTATAGCTGTCATAGATGATAATTCCTCTGATGGGTCTGGGTAAGGATTCACCAGCTAGATGTCACTAAGTACATTCATAATGCATGGGAAGAGCTTATAATGTCAATATTAACAGCAGTTTTGAATAGCGTGAATGACTTTCAGGGGTTCAAGACTTCAATGGAGGAAGTAAATGCAGATGTGGTAGAAGAAGCAAGAGAATCAGAATTAGAAGTGGAGCCTGAAGATGTGACTGGATTATTGTAACCTCACAAGAAAACTTGAATGATGAGCAAAAAAATGTGCTTTCTTGAGATGGACTCTACTCTTGATGAAGATGATGTGAACACTGTTGAAATGACAACCAAGGTTTTAGAATATCACATAAACTTAGTTGATAAAGCAGTGGCAGAGTTTGAGAGGGTTGACTGCAATTTTCAAAGAAATTCTTTGTGCCAATAACATCAAGTACCATCACATATTACAGAGAAACCTTTTGTGAAAGGAAGAGTCAGTCAGTGTGGAATACTTCATTTTGCCTTATTTTAAGAAACTGCCAGAGCTATTCTAACCTTCATCAGCCACCACTCTGATCAGTCAGCAGCCATCAATATTGAGACAAGACCCTCAATATTGACCCACAGGCACAAAGAATATGATTCACTGACAGCTTAGGGATACTTGTGACACTGCAGATTCCTGGGCTCCAGACATGCTTTATCAGAATCTTTATGGGATAGAACCTTATTTTTTTTTTTTTTGAGTTGGAGTCTCACTGTGTCGCCCAGACTGGAGTGCAATGGATAGAACCTTTGAATCTGGATTTTAAGCAAGCTTCCTGGGTGATGCTGACCCTCATTGAATTTGAGAACCTTGGGGTTGTTCAGGCAGCAGAGGTCCCTGCTGTTGTCTGTTCTGTATTCCTGGTGATAATGTTCTGTTTTCCTATGGCCTGTGCAATAGTGAGAGTCTTCTAAGATACATGACAGTGATCCAGAGAAAATGTCTTGAAGGTTAACTTCAACCCTATGGATTACCTGCCACACTCCCAGAGTTCCCAGGGTCTGGATCACCTATCCCTGGGTTCCACCTGTTACATCACACTTGCCCTTCAAGGACACACAGAGATGACATCCTTCACGTGGCTTGGGATGCTCACCTGCTCTCTTCCCACTGTGGGCCATAGGCCCCTGGGGGGCACACCTTTGACTGTGTGCTTTTTTTCCTGGGTGCTCTCTTTGGCTTCATAGTTGGACAAGGCCATTGTCCCTTCACTCCAGATCTTTCTCTTCAGATCCAAGAGGTCCTCCCTACCAAATACCTTGAACTCATGTTTTATAACATCCTTCTGGTTTTACAGTCTTTGGTGATATGGACTTGAGATCCCTTTGTCTCTGTGTCCTATAGCTTTGGGCCAGGCTGAAGATTAGGTCTCCCCATTTGGCCTGGAGAGAATCCCAGGCCACACTCCACATCCTTGGGGAGGCATTTACACTGACTTCAGGTTCCCCTTAGATAGACTTTCCCTATCCCAATGGTTCTGTACAAGTATTACTTATCATTTCACTTTAATTAAAAATGAGCTCAGCATCTACCCTATGTACAGCTTTCTGGGGTATTAGGAGGGGTATATCCCTTGCCCGCTAGGCATTCCCATCCAGAAGGGGTGCAGTGACCCAGGCACGGGGCTGGGGCTGGTGGATGTGATACATGAAGAGGATCCTGTTGGATGGTGGAGGGCGGAGGTGGAGGAGAGTGGAGGGTGGGGTCTATTTCCACCTACAGTTGATCGGCAATATTTATCTCTTCCAATTCCATGGTTCTGTTCTGGATATCCAGATTGCTCACGAGTTAAAGAGCCAAGCATGGTGTGATGGTTCATTTTAGATGTCATCTTGACTGGATTAAGGGGCACCTAGAGAACTGGTAAAAAAGCATTATTTCAGGGTGTGTCTGAGGGTGTTTCCAGAGGATCACCATGAGTGTGAGAACTGAGTAAGGAAGATACGCCCTGGAGAGCGAACAGGTTCTAGAGCTGGTTCTAGAAGCTGGTTCTAGAAAGCCCTATGATTGTTTCCTTTCTTTTATGGCAAACATATTTAGAATAGAAATTTGACTTAATGAAATTTTATCTTTTGCTATCAAAACAACCAATCTTTGGCTGGGTGTGGTGGCTCATGCTTGTAATCTCAGCACTTTGGAAGGTCGAGGCAGGAGGATCACTTGAGACCAAGAATTTGAGACCAGCCTTGGCAACATAGCAAGACCCTGTCTTTGCAAAAAATAAAAATTAGGCATGGTGGCTTGTGCCTGAAGTTCCAGCTACTCAGGAGGCTGAGGTGGAAGGATTACTTGAGCCCAGGAGTTCGAGGATACAGTGAACTACAGTCATGCCACTGCACTCCAACCTGGGCAACAGAGCCAGACCCTGTCTCAAAAATAAAATAAATTACAAAAAAAACCCAACACATTAAAATGCTCAACTCTGCACTTCACTTTTCTTGCTGACTCCTCTGCTCTCTCACCCAGGATTAACATTTCCAAGATGCTGCTATTGAGTTGAGAATTGATGGATTTCTTCCCTTTGTCAAATTCTTTCAACCTCAGCCACAGACTCCATTTGTAGATAAGGTCAATGACCAGAATGAGAAGTTAGGCTATAACTAATTGATGAGTTTACCATATCTCCTTAAAAAGGTATGAAGTGTTATCTTCACCCATTAGGCCTGTTGTTATTGTGCACAGGTGAATCACATGGTGGACTTTTTTTACCTTGATGGTACCCATTTCACAGATGAGAAAAGTGAGGCTGGGGTAGGACTTAAATGCTTGCTTGAGGTCACATAAGTGGGTGGCAGAATGGCACAGGAGACACAATACATTTTGCAGGCCTGCCATAAAGCATGAATGATTTGAATGACACTATTTTTATTTTGTTATTTTTTTCCTAGTGATTCCTGAGAGATGAAATCATCATTTTTAGTAAACAAACCAGCCTAGAACTGGATAGTATGGACATGCCAACAACTCTTTGAAACAAATTTCCTCTTGGCATTTACCCTGTGACTTAGCTTCCAAACCAGAGTTTCCTCTTGCCCAGCAAAAAGTGAGTAATTTGCTTTCTTAATGTTATTGTGCTTGCATGGATGATGCTGAATTTGCTGTGAATAGCAGAGATGGGAGGCAAAAGATGAGAGAATCAGAATGGTGATTTTAAAAAGTAACAACAAAAAAATGAGTAACAGCCACGGCGAGCAGAGATGGAATTTCAATGTAGTTGTGCAGATCAGAACACTGGACTTGCTTCTTTTGAGGAGCAGTAGAAGACCGCTTAATGAGAACAGAGAAGAATATAAACAGCCCATGCATTGAGTTCTAGAACACGTGGTTTCCAATCTTGCAGGTAGTCTAGCTGTACTTCATCATAAGGTCATAGAAAGGCAGAGCTGGAGGACCTGGTGAGATACTGGTCCTACAGCCTTATAGACAAGGAATCTGAGACTCTCGTAGGTCCAGGACTGGCTGGCTGCAGTGCCAGGACCAGTGCCTAGAATCTCAGTGCTCTTTGTCTTATACCACAGAGCACCAGATGCTGACAGTCCTCTATGCCTGACTGTTTAACCACATCACTCCACTTCCGTATGCAGCCAGATTCTGGAGTTTCTGAAACCTAGGTCTCCTCCCTCATCTCAGACTCCCAGTACAAAGGGAAACATACCCTTCTGCTTCTGGGATCTAATAGCTTGATTTTGTTCCTTTCAGATGGTTTATCCGAAGATGAGATTGATCTGTATTTGCCTTCTGGTGCTGGGGGTCCTTTGTTTGTATTTTAGCATGAACAATTTGAGTCCTTTCAAAGAACAGTCCTTTGTTTACAAGAAGGAGTACGGGAACTTCCTTCAGCTCCCAGACATAGACTGCAGGCAGAATCCCCCCTTCCTGGTCCTGCTGGTGACGTCTTCCCATAAGCAGCTGGCTGCTCGCATGGCCATCCGGCAGACGTGGGGCAAAGAAAGGATCGTGAAGGGCAAACGGCTGAAAACATTCTTCCTCCTGGGGACCACGAGCAGTCAGGACGAAATGAGGGCGGTGGCCCAGGAAGGCCAGCTGCATGGAGATATCATCCAGAAGGACTTCGTGGATGTCTACTACAATTTGACTCTGAAGACCATGATGGGCATAGAATGGGTCCATCATTTTTGTCCTCAGGCAGCGTTTGTGATGAAAACAGACTCAGACATGTTCGTCAATGTCTACTATCTGACCGAACTACTTTTGAAGAAAAACAGAACCACTAGGTTTTTCACCGGCTACTTAAAACTGAACGAATTTCCCATTAGGAAAAAGTTCAGCAAGTGGTTTGTCAGTAAGTTTGAATACCCGTGGGACAGGTACCCGCCCTTCTGCTCAGGCACCGGCTACGTCTTTTCCAGCGATGTGGCGAGCCAGGTGTACAATGTCTCCGAGAGCGTCCCATACATCAAACTGGAGGATGTGTTCGTGGGGCTGTGCCTGGAGAAGCTGAAGATCAGGCTGGAGGCACTGCATTCAAAACAGACCTTCTTCCCTGAGGGCTTGCGCTTCTCTATCTGCCGCTTCAGGAAAATCGTGGCTTGCCATTTTATCAAGTCCCAAGAGCTCCTGCTCTACTGGCAGGCTCTGGAGAATTCCCGGGAGGAGGATTGTCCGCCGGTCTGAGGGGTTCCTGGAGGCACACCCAGACAAACTCAGACAATCTGCAGTGATTGTTGTTGAAAGATTTGGGTGGCACTGCTGGGAGTCGTGGGGCAGGGAGGGAGTGAGACAGGAAGAGGTGCGGGAGAGTGGGGACACCATTTTTCAGTGCTCCAAGTCCATGCCAGAATGGAGGTGCATGTGAAGCCACTTGATGAGTTCCCACCAGGAGCCCCAGTCTATAACGGACACCGCCTCTTGGGCATCTACACTCGTACTAAGCATTTGATATACACCTACATTTTCACATTCTAGGGGTCATTATTCTGTGATGTGGTGGGTGTTGTTATCCTCACTTCACAGATAAGGAAACAGAAGCTAAGAAAGATCTAGAAACTTGTTCTAAGGCTCATAGCCAGCATACCCTGGAGCAGGAATACACATCAAGCACTGGCAGAATCCTGTGTGCAGTCCCAGACTTGGTCTACCTCCTGCCCATATGCCGCCTCCCTGGGAGAGGACACTGATGATAAAGGCTTGGGGGGGCAGCCTTGCAGTGGGCAGCCTTCAGTCCCTGTCCAGAGTCCCTTCCACTTTATCGCCCAAAGCTTGTGCTTTCATTGCTAAGACTGGGGTGGAGAACTCACCCAAACGCCTTTATTCACAGACTGGATGAGGTGGACTCTGAGTCCAGACTGCCACCTTGGTACTCAACACAACCCAGAGCACATCCCAGATGTACTGGCAGTCGCTGCAGCTTGCCTGCTTAGAAGTGCCCGGCTCCAGACAGAAATCAATTTTGATACATTTATAAATTAGGCTCAGAACCCACGGCAGTCTGGCCACTGTGCAGACTGCTCACATTGCTGACCTCACTGACCAGCAGGACATCCCCTCCAAGCCATCTGTGGAGTTCCGATCCCTTCTCCCCAGATGTCCTTTGTCTTTGCTCGATCAGGAGTTCTCTCAGTTCAAATTGAAGGGCAGTTGAACGCAGGCAACAGTTCACACAGGATTCTGGGCACTTTTCTGAGATTTCAGTTGGCTGTAAGTCAAGATGCGGTCAAGGTCTTCAGACACAAAGCCCTGAAGTGGGCCCAAGTCAAGGGGATGTCCCTGTTTCCACTTCCCAAGCCTGGCCAAGCTCATCTTCATTGAGTCACATTTTGCCAAGAAATAACTGAACTTCGTGGTTTGGTGTTTGGCCTTCAATTTCCTCCCCCACCCACCCCAGGTTTGTGTGGGCCATTTTGCAGGGTTGTGTGAAAACCAAGACATTTTTTTGTAAAAGTTTCTGCCCATTCAGCCACTGTTACATGACATGCGAAGTTCTCTTGCTCCTAATTGTAGAATTGATTTTTTAATTTTTTTTTCTTTACCAGATATTACTAAGTTCTCAAAGAAGAGGCCTCACGTGACTGTGTGACTTTTAAATGCTGGACTAAACTCTTCCTTGAACTCAGGAAAAGTGATTTGCTGCGAAATGGTTATGACCATGTTAAATTGCAAAAGTAGGCCTGTTTTGCACAGCATTTCTTGTGTCTGGACTGAGCTGCTTCTTGAAGTTGATCTTCCTCATCCTGGCTGCTCTGAGTGCACTGGGTCATGTTCAGAAAAGCCTCCTTCTCAGGTGGAAAAGTCAGGGATGGACGCTTCTGGTTCCATAGCATGGGCTGCCTCTGATTCTGAAGAGAATGAGTGCTTTGCCAGTGAGGTAGTCTGTCTGGCAGTAGGCCTGTGTCTGTGTTTCACTGTCCCCTTTGTCTGGCATGTGTCTCGTCAAGCTGGCTGCCTCTGCATGGCTGGCTCAGGAGCTGGCTTTTGCATTATCCGTCCACAGCCTCTGGCTATGGGGACAGATGCAGCCAGGGGTGGACTCCACTGGCTGCCTCTGAGTGTTCTTAAAGGATTTTCTGCAAGACACCTTATTTATCCATTATATTTCCTTCCTTCATCACTCCCTGTCTCCTTGCTCACTTCCTTCCTTCTTTCCTTCCTTTCTTCCTCCCCTCCCCTCTCTCACTTTCCTTCCTTCCTTCCTTCCTTCCTTCCTTCCTTCCTTCCTTCCTTCCTTCCTTCCTTCCTACTTACCTACCTACTTACTTACCTTCCTTTCTCTTGCTCTGTCACCCAGGTTGGAGTGTGTGGTACAATCATAGCTCACTGCAGCCTCCAACTCCTAGACTCAAGTGATCATTTTGCCTTAGCCTCCAAGTAGCTGGGACTACTGGTGTGTGCCACCAAACCCAGATAATTCTCTAAATTTTTATTATTTATTGTTTTCTCATTATGTTTCCCAGGTTGGTCTCGCATTCCTGGCCTCCAGTGACCCTCAGTTGCTGGAGTTCCAGGCACGAACCTCACTTTATACAATGAAGAATTTTTTTTTTCTAGGAAAAAATCACTTAATCACTCTAGAACTTGAAGGAGTCTTAGAGCTTATTCAATCCTGCCTCCTCTTTTAGGTGGGATGGGATGAGAACATGACTCAGAGAGACCCAGAGACTTACCCAAGACTTCATGGCTGGTTTGTCATGGGCTGAGGTTTCAGTTCAGCCTGTGTTTCATGACGCTTACCTATCTGGATGTGGGAGTGAGAAACTATGTGAGTGTGAGTGAGGAAGCAAAGCGACGCTTTTCCAGTGACACCCAACGTTAGTTTCAAAATGGGCTTGCAACAGGGCCCTCACTCACAGGTGTCCAGAGAGGAAGGATTCAGATGAGCAAATACTATTTGTCAGGTATTGAGATAAGAGCTTTCTAGGTAGCACTTCATTTAAATGCTCAGAACAACCCATGAGAGAGGATACCACCAATATCCCTGGCTTACAGATGAGAAAGCCAAGGCAGAGAGTGAGGTTGGACATGTAACTTGCGATTACATAGCTTAAAAGTGGCAGAAACAGGGTGTGACCCCCAAACTACTGGGGCCATCATGCTTGTGGGTCACCAGCTGCCCCCTCTCAGTGTTCCAGGGCCCGCAGGGGGCTCGTTGCATCAGCTGCTCCCACTGCACTTCTGGGAGTGTCCTCAAACCCCCTGCCACCCATGCCCCCCACCCCTGGCCTCTGAGCCCCTATATTCTGTATCTACTGTTTTGGCAAGGAGCCATCTGGACTCTCATGGTGCCAGCTGCTCCCTGTTGAACCAGACTTCCAGCTCTTCTTCCCGCCTTAGGAGCATGTCTCCTGCACTTGTCCCTACTCTCATCCCATCGCCCATTGTCCCCTCTGCTTAATTATACCATAAACACACAGACATGCTGCTATCTCCCGTGTGACAAACACAACTGCTACCTTCCCTGATATTATGTCCCCTACCAGCTGCTGCCCGGCTCCCATTGTCTGTGTGTCAGATCCCCATGAAGTGGTTTTATGTGTTTGTCACTTCCTTTGGGTCCTTCTAGTCCTTGTGAAATCCCCTTTTGTGAAACTTTCGCACCCCTACTTCACCTGGATGACTCTTGTCAGGGGCACCCATGGCCCCATGTAGCTGGGTACTGAGGGCAGCAGGCTCTCAGCCCTCGCCTGACCTGACTGCTTCTTCCTGGATGGGTTCTCCTTACTGGCTTTTGGGACACTTGGTGCTCTTGGTTCCTTTCCTCCTTGTTGTTCCTTTTCTGTCTCCATGGCTTGTTCCTCCTCTCTGCTCTATTTAGTGTTGGAGTACCCAGGCTTGGCTTGGGATCGCCTTTCTTCCCTGACTTTACCCAGCCCTCTGGGGTCTCATCCTTTCTCATGGTTTTAAATGCCCTCTGTTATGTTGGCGATTTCTCCCATTTCTTTCCAGCCTAGAGCTCTCTCTTGCTCTTCATTCTCGTATATTCTGCTGGATTTCCCGTAATGACCTTCTAATGCAAGTCACGACCCTCAATCCGCACCATCTGTAGCCTGCCCTGTCTCAGTTAATAGCCACCTCACCCTTGCTGTGGCTCAAGTCAAAAACCATGAAGCCATTCTGACTCCCCTCCTTCAGCCGGTGCATTAGAAGTACTGTTGGATCTACCTTCAAATTACCTCCAGAAGCTGGCCACTTCCTGCTCCTCCATGGCGGCCACCCTTATCTGAGGTCCCTTCCTCCCCATTGCCTCTCATCTGCAGTCCTGCAGTCACCTCCTGCCTCTTCTCTTGGTTTCTACCATTGCATCTGAGTGATCTCCTCTCAGCAGCACCCAGAGTGATCCTTTGGGAATCTCAGTTCCCTGCCCGAACTTTCCTGTGGCTCCCCATTTCTGAGTAAAAGTCATAACCTTAATATTGTCTACCTTGTTGTCTCCATTATCTCATCCCTTCACAACCTCTCCTTACTCATGCTGGCCTCCTCAGCAACAATGCTATTCTAGCCACAGTGGCCTCCTTGTTCTTCCTTGGATATTTGCCTCAGGGCCTTTGCACCAGCTGTTCTCTCTGTCAGGGGTGCCCTTGCCTCAGATGTACTCATGGCTCACTCCTTTGTCTCCTTCAAGTCTTTGATCAAATGTCACCTTCTCATGAGGCCTACTCCTGCCTCCTTATATGAAATGAAATGGCAACTCACCCCACACCCGTGCTCCCTTACCTTGTATTTTTTTCATTGCACTTATCAATTTCGAACACAGCATATATTATCTATATTTATTTTTTATTGTTTATGTTTCAACTGACTTGAATGTAAGCTTTGTGTGGGTGTGGGTCTAGCTCTGTCTTCATTGGTGCACCTTGGATTCTTAGCATGGCCTTGGCACATAGTAGGTACTCAATAAATATTTGTTGAGGGGAACTGAATGGACCTTTTAGAAGGTGGGTTTTTAAAAGAAAATAAGACTGAAAAAATGAAGGCTTTCTAAAACCCAGCCAACACTGTGGTTCCAAATGAATCAGTAAGTGGGAAAACGGGTGCGTTTTCATGGACTCTATGATCTGAAAACCTAGAAACACCCCACATCGGTACTTCTTCACCCCTCTCTTTGAGGAATGGAAAACCTCACCCAGTACAGGGGGGATGGAATCGCACAGCACGGTTCATGTACCTGTCCTCCATCCTCA